GGTCACCTTCACTGGAAATGTTGAAAACTCTGTGGATGTGGCACTAGAGGTGACCGTGGGGGTGGTGCTGGGTGATGGTTGGACTCTGATCTTGGATGTCTTTTCCAACTTTAACAACTCTGTGATTTGGCCCAAATATCTCAGTTTGGAGCAGAGCAGGAAGTGGAGAAGTTTCTGGGAGTTTTATATACTGGAAGTTCCTGTCACCTGTCCCATGACTGTGTCACCAGGCTGTGCTTTCAGCAGCATTTTTTAGTGTCAGCTGACAAAGAAATGTCACACAATTAGAGCATCCACAGGGCTGCTATAGAAACACAGAGCTAATCTATTCCTTCCTTGTTCCACAGCATTTAATCAAGGAAAACATTATTTCTTTAATTAATTAATCAATACCTCTGTTGCCATCCTTCTCATTGCCCTCCTGATCTCCACAAATATTTAATGCTCAGGAAACATAAAAAAAGACAACTGTCACTCCTAGGGAGTCTCAGCCTAAAAGTGCTTTATGTTTTGATCCTGATCTTTTTGCAGTAGGTTAGCACTGCTGTTTAACCACTTTAAAACAAAAATAATTCTTGCCTGAAGAATAATTCTTGCCCTCTTTTTATCCTCACTCATTACAATTAATACTGGACTGGAGCAGAGTAGCTTTATAAACTTTTTAAAAATTATTTATTGAATATAAAGCACAATGTGTTGACTAATTGACCCTTAAAGATCCCTTCCAAGCCAGACTGTGATACGATTTTATGCGTGAAATAGAAATTAAATGAAAAAATTACTTTTTTCAGACTATGTTCGTGAGTGGCTTTGCAAGAAAAAGACCCTGAAGGAGTCTGGCATCTCTGAGAGCAATTCTGAGGAAAACCTTCCCTTGAGCCAGTTCACAACCGTGGACAGAGAAGCAATTTGGGCAGAAGTGGAAAACGATCCAGAGAAAGCAGAGCTGAAAGCTGAGCAGGCTGAAAACGACGGATCTGAGCAGGACACCAGCGAGCACACAGAGTCTGCAGACACCAGCACAGGCCACGACAGTGACAACACCTCCTCCTTCTCCCCTTCCCTGGAGCTGCAGGAGGTGAGCACCGAGGACAGGGACGATGGCAGAGAGGCCCCAAGGCACGGGAATTCCCTCAGCGCCTCCCTGTCCGAGAGCTCCAAATCCAGCGCGGGGCCCAACCTCGTCAGGGCCGACTCGGAGAGGACTCAGGCCTCGGAATCTCTGTCCAGTGACGAGGAGGTGGACCTGGAGCTGCAGGAAATCGCCCAGTGCAGGCTGCTGAAGCAGCAGAAGGAGAAGCAGGAGCTGGCAGAGGCTCTGTTCAAGCACATGCTGCTGTACCTGCAGCCCTACGACTCCCGGCGCGTCCTCTACGCCTTCTCCGTGCTGGAGGCCGTGCTCAAAACCAACCCCAAGGAATTCATCGAGGCCGTGGCCACCACCAGCATGGACACCAGCTCCACAGCTCACCTCAACCTCATCTACAACCTCCTGGCTCGCCACCAGGAAGCTCTGGTGGGGCAGAGCTTTTATGGGAAGCTGCAGCCTCAGTCGCCCACGGTGTGTCCTCACTCGGTGCTCATCGAGCTGCTCACCTACCTGTGCCTGAGCTTCCTGCGCTCCTACTACCCCTGCTGCCTGCAGCTCAGCCACAGGGACCTGCTGGCCAACAGGGACGTGCAGGTGAAGAGCGTGGAGGTGCTCATCAGGATGATGGCCCAGCTGGCCAGCACGGCCAAGGCGGCCGAGCCCAAGAGCGTGGAGTTCATCCGTGAGCTGCTGGGCAGGTGCAAAGTGCAGGAGTTCGTGCTGCTCTCGCTCTCGGCCTCCATGTACATCAGCCACAAACGCTACGAGCTGCTCGTGGCTGATGGGGCCAAGCACAGCCCTGAGGAGGAGGAGCTCCTCGAGGAGAACCTGATCAATTTTGGTCACGATCAGATCTGGAGCGAGCACCCGCTGCAGATTGAGCTGCTGAAGCTGCTGCAGGTGCTGATTGTCTTGGAGCACCACCTAGGCCAGAGCCCTGAGGAGCAGGAGAACCAGGCAGACCTCTCCAAGGAGTGGCAGCAGGCTCTCAACTTCCAGCAGGCCATTGGGGCCATGCAGTACGTGTACCCACACCCCATCACTTCCCAGGGACTCTTTGTCTCTGCCGTGGTCAGGGGGCTCCAGCCAGAGTATGGCCATGGGATGCATCCCACGTGGGTGAGCTTGGTCACCAGCTCCCTGCCCTATTTTGGGAAGTCCTTAGGTTGGACGGTGGCACCGTTTGTGGTGCAGATCTGTAAAAACCTGGATGAGCTCGTCAAGCAGTATGAAAATGAAGTTGTCAAGACGTCTGCTAAAACATCTGCCAGGTAAGAGGCACCTGATGGGGGGGATTTTTTTATCCTGAAAATTCCCCTTTTCACAGAGCAGGGAGTGTAGGAACTCCCTGGGTCAGCACTGTGGCTCCCAGAGTCTGATCCTTAATTCCTGCTGCACCTGTCCCTGGAGTGAGCTGGAGACAGGATTGTTGCAGAGGAGCAGCAGCTGGGATATTTCTTGGCTCCTTCTGCCTTCCATCCAAGAATACAAGCTCTCAGTTTTATGGATCCTTTCATTTTGATACTCCTCACCTGATATTCCTGATATTCACTCCAATTTTAGCTATGGAATAGAAACAGGAAATTTTTAATCAAGGAGATACCACTTGGCTTATTAACATATTTGGTTTTTATTCCCTTTCCAAAGCTTCACTTCTAAAAGAGAAAATGTGACTCCTGATTACCCCCTCACCCTTCTGGAAGGGCTGACAACCATCGGGCACTTCTGCCTTCTGGATCATCCCAGTCCAACAAAAAAGGTATTTAGGAATCCCCTGACAGCAGAGTCACATCCCTTTTCCTTCCAGGTGAACATAAACAGTGAATTGTACAAGAAAATCACCTTAGAGAGGCCTCATAGCACACCCAGAGAACTCAACTGAGTCAAAGTGAAAGGACTGAGCTTAATTTTTCTGTATTTGAAGCCTGAAAAATGGATTTTAAATCATTGTTCATGAAGGTCTTGGTGATGCAAATATCAATCCTCTGTCCTTAACAAACTCATTTCTTTTCTTTTGAATCAATCATGTTTTGAGTGTTCCCTACAATTTTTAGGCTCTTGTGTGCATAAGAAATTATTTTAACATTGATATTTTGGTTTTTTTTTTTTTCCTAGTCATCCTATTCAGCTGAACCTGCCAACCTGAGGAATGCCAGGAATGCCATCCTGGAGGAGCTGCCCCGAATTGTGAACACCATGAGCCTCCTCTGGAGTGTCATTAAGAGGGAAGACTCCCAAAAAAGACCAACTGACTTCTTTGGGACAACTAAAGGCTCCTCTTCAGTCTACTTTAAAGCAACCAAAGTAGGAGCTCTTTTAAAATGCTGATTTTTTTTTTTTTTTTAATCTCCTCACCCTCCCCAGTGCATTTTACATGAAGTTCTTTTATTGTTATTTATTTTCTGGGAAAAGAATAATATTTTATAAGCTAGGAGATAGTCTTTGCCTTACACTGATAATTATTTTCCCCCATTTACAGACGCTAAGAACAAAAATATTGGATTTTCTGAATCCCTTGACAGCACACCTTGGAATCCAACTGATGGCAGCAATTGCAGCAGTTTGGAACAGCAAAAAACCTCACAGGAGTCACAGTAAAACCAAGGTGAAGTTAAAGAAAGGCACCTTTTTATTTCCTATATAAAGGCAAATGTTACATTTATGTGGCCACTTCTCAACTCTGTTTGTAAATTCTTTGGGGTTTTTGAAATAGGACTGAAAAATCTGAAATCCTCTTAGAAAAAGCAGCAGGACTACAATTAAACCTCAATAATCAAATAAAACCCATATTGTGGGTTTAAATCTAAGAGTAAAAGCCATTTCTTAATCAATACTGGATTGCAATTGGACAATTATATTTTAAAGCCCATGAATCAGCTCAGTTTCCAGAGAAAATGAGAGCTATGTTCTCTGGAACTCATTATTTATTTTGGGGAGAACTTTTTTCCTTTCCTGCTTTCATTGGAGCAGAATCCAGTTGTTTTCATAAGGTGTTGGGAGAAGATATTTAATGCCAAGGGATGTGTTGTTTGATTTAATCTTTGTAATTTACATTTCATTTTGAGAGGTGTGTCTTTTGTTTTGTTTTCCTTTGTCAGATTCTCCCAGTGGCCAGTGCATCCCAACTTATTCTCGTGGACTTAATTTGTGCCCTGAACACATTGAAAATTGACACCATATTATATCTGGTCAAAGAGGTGGTCAAGAAACCAGCACAAATCAAGAGGGAAGAGGTAAGCAGGAAGATAATTCCATTTTCTTCAAATATTCCAGCCTGGATCTGTTTCAATGTGCCTTTGGAGGGTTTGCTTTTAAATGTGGGATTGTCCTTTGCTCCTGAATAGGTTTTGGTATCCAAATTGTGTTTGATTATCTACAATAAGTAGATTCTTTAAAATATATCAGGCAGATGGTGATGGGACAAAGGGAATGGTTTTAAACTCTCAGATACAGGGTTAGCTGGGATTTTTGGGAATAAATCCTTCCCTCTGAGGGTGGGAGAGGCTGGGATGGAATTCCCAGAGCAGCTGTGGCTGCCCCTGGATCCCTGGAAGTGTCCAAAGCCAGCTTGGATTTTCTTTTTCCTTCTGATGGTAAATAAGTGTGGGTTTGCTTTTCTTTTCCAGAAATCCTCTCTCGTGGATATCCCAGTGCTGCAGTTCAGTTATGCTTTCATTCAGAGGTAACTCACTCCTTCTAAAAGAGAATTTTCTGTTTGACTCCAGTGAGGGAACAGCCAGCATTGCCACTTCTGCTTTCCTTTGATCTTCATGACCCAGAACACTTCTGTGCAGGAAATGTGCAGTCCTTGGTTATTGACACACAGCCACGGAGTGCCAGGGCTGTGACTCTGGGAGGGGAAGTGGCACTGACAGTCAGGAAGGGCAGGACTGATCCCAAAGCTTTTAGGCCACCAAGTTCCTCTTATTTGTTTTTTGTTGGGTTTTTCTTTGTTGTTTTGGGGGATTTTTTTTTGTTTTTTGTAGCGGTCTCTGTTGTTTTTTTGTTGGGTTTTTTTTTGTTCTTTCCTTAACTGTACCTTCACTCCTGTGTGCTTTGGTTTTATTTTTTTTGGCAGACTCCCTGTCCCAGCCCTGCAGGAGAACTTCCAGCCCTTATTAGGGCTCCTCAGAGAATCTGTGCAGCTGAACTTGGCTCCTCCTGGCCACTTCCTTCTCCTCAGGTACTGCATGAGAGAGGAGAGGTTTCACTGAGGTTTTAACTGTGCAATTCCTGACTGAGAGTGCTCTGATCTCCCACAGCATCCTAAATGACTTTGTGACAAGGACACCCACCCTGGAAAACAAAAAGGACCAGAAAGACCTGCAGGTACAGTGGGTTAATTCACCTTTTAGTTCTTAAACCTGGCTCTGTTCATGTAAGGAAAAGTGGAGATGACCTGATCTATCCTTTGGATCTGAATTCCTTTTGGAATTGCTTTTGGGAATTCCTGCATGTGCATCCAAACATTTTGGCTGAGGGGAGACTCAAACATGAGAGACAAACACGTTTTTGTCCCAAATCTTTGCAGCTTGAGTCCCAAAAGCTTTGAAAGCTCAGGTTCCAAATCTTGCAATCTTTTTAAAGCTGTTTTTTCTGTGCACTATTATGATTTTTTTCTCAGGAATGAGCTCCTAACACAAATAGGATGTCATGAATTCACATCCTGTGCGTGAATATTGAATTCTCTAAGGAAAATGAATTAATCCTTGGAGCTGCCAGCAGGGTTTGGCAATGGGAATGGCTCTGAGCTCAGCTGTGTAAAGAAAGGAGCAGAGCAGGATTCTCCTCCTGTACTGCCCTATTTCACCAGGACAGTTTGAACACTTCTTTCCTGGGTGCTTTTGGGTTGTGGGTTTGACTTTCATGTGCCAACAGAGAAATTCAATCTCCCCTTCTGCTGCAGAGTCTTGCCAGCAAAATGCCAACAATGACAGAAAATGTCATTTTACAGCCTCTGCTTTGCTTTGGATGAGATTTGATTTCATTGCAGCTCCTGATTGCCCTGGGAATTAAATATACCAATTAAATACCTGATGCCACTTTGATTACATTACAGGAGGTGACCCAAAAAATCCTGGAGGCTGTGGGGACCATTGCTGGTTCTTCCCTGGAACAGACCAGTTGGCTGAGCAGAAATTTGGAAGTGAAAGCTCAACCTCAGATTTTACCAGATGAATTCAATGTGGAGGATGTGAATGGTAACTTCCCCTGGCTCCTGCTGCTCCCTCTCCTCCTGCTGAAGGCAGTGAAGAGCACGAGGGGTTTGATGATGTGCATGATTTATTTTTTTTTTCAGTGTAACACCAATTTGCAAATAAATGTTCTGTTTGGGCAGCAAATTAGGAAACAGCAACATTTAAATATTTAAACATTTAAAATTATTATTATTAATATTATATCATTTAAATATTTAAACATCTAATTAGCAACATTTAAACGTGTCTGAAGAGAAAACTCGATTATTTTGCCTCTTTCAGATACAACAGTGGCACCATCTTCAATGGTTTCTGCCTCTGCTCCTTCAATCTACAGTGTCCAAGCCCTTTCTCTCCTTGCAGAGGTCAGTGGGACCCTCTCCTCTCTGGGGTTATTTGGATTGTTAAACTGAGGAGGATTTTCTGGTAGATTAAACAGCAGTGTGAACCCTTTTACAGATGTAAATCATTTGGGGGTCAGTGGGACCCTCTCCTCTCTGGGGTTATTTGGATTATTAAACTGAGGAGCATTTTCCTGGTAGATTAAACAGCAGAGTAAATCTTTTGGGGGTCAGTGGGACCCTCTCATCTCTGGGGTTATTTGGATTATTAAACTGAGGAGGATTTTCCTGGTAGATTAAACAGCAGTGTGAATCTTTTTACAGGTGTGAATCTTTTGGGGGTCAGTGGGGCCCTCTCATCTGTGGGGTTATTTGGATTATTAAACTGAGGAGCATTTTCCTGGTAGATTAAACAGGAGTGTGAATCTTTTGGGGGTCAGTGGGACCCTCTCATCTGTGGGGTGATGTGGTGATTGAATCAGGTCTCAGTTTTATGTTTCCAATTTCAGTTGATTCAATCACCCCAGGATGATTTGGGTTATTAATCTGAGGAGGATTTTCCTGGTAGATTAAACAGGAGTGTGAATCTTTTGGGGGTCAGTAGGGCCCTCTCATCTGTGGGGTTATTGGGATTATTAAACTGAGGAGGATTTTCCTGGTAGATTAAATAGAGATGTGAATCCTTTTACAGGTGTAAATCATTTGGGGGTCAGTGGGACCCTCTCATCTGTGGGGTTATTGGGATTATTAAACTGAGGAGGATTTTCCTGGAAGATTCAACAGCAGTGGAAACCTTTTGGGGGCTATTCCCTTGCACAAACTTCCAGCCTGGAACATTGCAGCTTTTCCCCTTTTCTAGCAGTGCCAGGTGTGGGTTTGAAGAGTTCTCCTGTGCATTTTGCAGGTGCTGGCCTCCCTGCTGGACGTGGTTTACCGCAGTGATGAGAAGGAGAAGGCCGTGCCCCTCATCTCCCGCCTGCTCTACTTCGTGTTCCCCTACCTGAGGAACCACAGGCCAGTCTCTCCCTGCTCCTGCCATTTTTTACTTCTTGAATTTTGTTTGCCTTTCTTTCTCCATTCTCTGTTCTAATGTGTTTGAGCAGTGTTTCACCAGGAGCTCAACCTGCTCTTGTTTCAGTTTTTTGCTCAGCTGTTGGGATTCTCCCAGCTGGGATTTTGGGTTTTACTGAAATCTCCCCTTTCTGTGCCTGTCAGGGAATGGGGCAGCAGAGCATGGGAAGGTCCCAGGATCCAGCAGGAAGCAGGAAAAGCATCATCTCTCCCTATCCTCTTCCTTGTTTTCCTCACAAATGGGGGAGAGATGGGTGATACCCATTTAAACACAGGCCATGGAATCCTGGAGTGGTTTGGGTTGGAAGGGACCTTAAAGCCCATCCAGTGCCACCCCTGCCTGGGTCATGAATTCCAAATGCTGATACCATTGGAGACACTGAAATCATGGAATGGTTTGGGTTGAGAGGACCTTAAAAATCATCTTGTTCCCACTCCTGCCATGGCAGGAACACCTCCCACTGTCCCAATGTCCAACCTGGCCTTGGGCACTGCCAGGGATCCAGGGGCAGCCACAGCTGCTCTGGGAATTCCATCCCAGCTCATCCCCACCCTCTCAAGGAACAATTCCTTCCTAAAGATCTCATTCAAACCAACCCTTTTGTGAGTTGGAATCTATTCCTGAGCTTTAAAAAAGCCCATATTGATTATTTTTGTCCTCTCCTCCAGTGCCTACAACATTCCCAGTTTCCGTGCTGGTGCTCAGCTGCTCAGCTCCCTGAGTGGATACGCCTACACCAAGAGAGCCTGGAAAAAAGAAGTGCTGGAATTGTACATGGATCCATCTTTTTTCCAGATGGACACTTCCTGCACCCAGTAAGACGTGGCTTAAAGCTTGTATTCTGAATTTGCAAGGAAAGCCTTTAAAGGAGAAGAGTAACCCTGGGAAGAAAATTCAATTTAGTGCTTTCTTATGGAATGGGGTAATGTTAAAAATGGGTCTCACTACTAATTCTGCTCCAGACAAGAGTCTGCACACAAATCCTGCCTGGAAACTATTTCCTTGCATGAAAAGTTTGACCCAAATAATTTCTGAGGTGAATATAAAGCACAGCTTCCCCTGGATATCTAATTCCTTCTTTCTCTCCTGCAGCTGGAGATCCATCATTGACCATCTCCTCACACATGAGAAAACCATGTTTAAGGATTTGATGAGTAAGTATCAGCTGCTGATCATTTATTTCTACCTCAATTTGAAATCTATTTGCATTTGAGCCATTTGGGTGCATTTTTATTACACTGATTTATCCATAAAGTGCTGACTATGCATAACTGACCATTTTGGGAACTTCATTCCCAGCTAAAGCTGAGTTAAATCACGATTTTGGTCATGTCTAAAACACACCAGAGGAGGTTTTGCTGTAGAGGTGCTTCTGTTGGGTTCCCACATTCACATTTTGCTCGAATTTTGAGTTGTCCAAGTGTGGCCTTTCCCAGGAGGAGACTTTGGCAAACTGCAGATGTCTGCCATGAGCAGAGCAGCAAACCTTCAGTTGATGTGCTGTGACCTCTAATTCAGGCTTGAGGAGAGTGTGGAACAACAAATCTTGGGGAAAAGGATGGGATAGAACCCTTTAAACTGACCTCAAGCAGCTTTAATCTCTTTTTCAGCCTTTCTAAAAGAATCATTGAACACTTAGAACACAAATTTTATTACGCAAGACGAATTCGCACTCGGTGACTCAGAGAAATTATTATTTTTGAATTTTTTTGGTAGAAGATTTCAGGACACAGGGATTATTTGCAGGCAGGCAGTTTGTGAGGGGTGGATTATTGTGCTGTGTGTTGCAGCCATGCAGAGCAGTGCCCTGAAGCTGTACCCCAGCTTTGAGCAGAAGGCGATGCTGCTGAAGCGCCAGGCGTTCGCTGTCTTCAGCGGGGAGCTCGACCAGTACCACCTGTACCTGCCCCTGATCCAAGGTGAGCCTTCATCCCTTCAGCTGCAACACAAATCCCTTTGTCCCTGCATCCCTGGGAGTGCCCAAGGCCAGTTTTGTTGGAGGGTAGATGAAGGTGAAGCCCATGGATAATGTTTAATTAAACATCAAACTCCCAACCTGAACCATTCCACGATAAAAATTCTGCAACAAAGCAAAGTCACCTCTTTTCCAACAAATGTTTTTTTTTAATTTAGAACAAAATTTATGAATCTCTGTGTTCTAACAGATAAATGATATCAGCAAATGTCAGGATTGATATGGGTTTAGATTTTCAAAGAGCAGAGCAGTTGGTAGTTGCTATAAAGTTGTTTATTGTAAAGACTTTGGCAGACTCTGCAGGTGCCTGCCATGAGCAGTGCAGCAAACCTTCAATTGATTTGCTGTGATCTCTAATTCAGACTTGAGGAGAGTGTGGAAGAACAAATCCTGGAGAAAAGCATGGGATGAAGGTGAATTACACAAGCAAGGAAAGACAGGAATCTTGGTTTCCAGGCCTTTGGTCTGGAAATGTGATTATTTCATGGCAATCTTCCACCCACTCTTGACCTGTTGTTGTTCTCCCAAAATGCCAGTTTTGATCACATTTTGTGCACTATAAACCCACTCAGGCTATGTCTGAATTATAAATTAGTTTATACAATGCAAGGAACTCGGCCCAAAACTGATGATAAAGGAAAAAATGTGTTTTGCCACCTTCTACAAGGTGGAGAGGGACAGAATGACAGGACAAAGGGGATTGATCTTAAACTGAATGAGGCAGGGCTGGATGGGATCTTGGGCAGGAATTGTTCCCTGGGAGGGGCTGGGATGGAATTCCCAGATTTGCTGTGGCTGCCCCTGGATCCCTGGAATGTTCAGTTCCAGGTTGGACATTGGGACAGTGGGAGGTGTCCCTGCCATGGCAGAGGTGGCACTGGATAATCTTTAATATCCCTTCCAACCCAAACCATTCCAGAATTTCATTAATTTGGGAATTTAATTCCCAAAACAACAACACAAATACAGGAAAATGCCTCTTTTATTTTGTTTTTTTCCCTTTTTTGGATGCTTCCTGCAGAACGTCTGACTGAGAATCTCCGTGTGGGTCAGACCTCTTTGGTGGCTGCCCAGATGTTTCTCTTCTTTAGAGTTCTTTTATTGAGGATTTCCCCTCAACATCTCACCTCCCTGTGGCCAATCATGGTCACAGAACTGGTAAGAAAGAAGTTTTCAATTTACATTGGAAAAAAAGATCAGCCTGTGGTTATCTCAAATTTAACTTTTTTCTCTTGCCTGCTTGGAAATGTTTCCACAGTTTTACATTAATCTGATCATTTGTTAAATTGTCATTTAGGAAATTCCTTTGGGATTAATTTTGGTGGTGTTAATGGAATCTCTTGCCTGAATTATTAATTTGTTACAAGTCATAAAGGTTCCTTTTCAATGCAAATCCTCACTTTTAGTTGGGATTGAGTTCTATGAACATTTCAGCATCTCCATTATTATTGCTTTAAAGATCCAGACATTTCTACAGCTGGAGGAAGATTTAACTGAGGAAGAGGAACCAGCAAAGTAAGAGTTTCCATTTGAGAGACTTCTTTAAAATTAATTAATTAATTTAATTAGTTTCTGGGTTAGGGAGAAGAGTTTGAGAGATTTCTTTAAAAATAATGAATTAATTCTCTGTGATATAGAGGAGCCAACAGGATATTTTGCTATTGCACTTTTATATTTCTGGTGCTAATAAATCATAATTTAGGATTTTTTTTTTTTTAGCAGCTAAATTAGTGATATGCTTAAAAATATATGCACAAATTACTAGTTGTGTACAAAAATAAAGTTAAATGCTAAATTGGCTGTTGAATATTTTAACATGGAACTGCAGCACTCCAGGCTTGTATTCTGAATTTGCAAGGACAAGCTTTAAAGGAGAAGAGTAATATTGGAGCAAAAAATCTATTTTTTGCCATTTTTTGGTGTAATTTAGATTATTTTGCTCCTACAGAATAAAAATAATTGTCCAAGAGCTCCTTTGTGTAAATGTGGGTATTCTTTTTGTGCTGACTGAAAAACCTTGAGTGGATTGGGAGTTTTAATGGAATTTTTTTTTTTTTTTTTTTTAATTTATTTAAAACCCAGGAGCAACAGCAAAATCAGCAAAGGCAAAAGCTCAGGGGATGGCAGTGGGGCTGAAATCCAGCCCAACGAGCTGTGCCTGTACCTGGCAGCCTGCAAATTCCTGGACACAGCCCTTTCCTTCCCCCCTGACAGGATGCAGCTCTTCCAAATGTGAGGGGGTTTTTTGGTTGGTTTGGGGTTTTTTTTTTGGTTTTACTTAGAGCTAGAATTTAAAAAATACACGGTGGAAATGGATTTTCTTGTGTTTGGGCTTGGTTGTTTATTAAATCTTATTAAAAATAAAATATGATTAAATTTAATTACAAAAGAAAATATTTTACTATATATTTATTTATTTACTATGTATTTATTAGATAATATTTTATTATTTTATACTTTATTAAAAGTACAGAAAGTTTAGCAACACTTCTAGCCACCAGCTAGAAGTGAGCAAAATGGAGATGAATCCATTATAGTTATAAGTTATAATTATAAGGTTTCTTAAAGCTAAACACTTTAATAGAGAAATAACATTTATATTTTTTATACTTTTCACTTAATAATTAAATTCTCATGACTTTCAGTGTGGCACTAAGTGTTCAACTAGAAACTATTACTTGAAACCATGAAGAAAAAGAAAGATGAGCACCAAAAGAGACACCACTCCAATTCTTCCATTTTATCTTATATTTATTACTATATTATAAAAACTTTAAAACCTTGCACAGTGGGAAATCACACACTTTTAAGTAACAAAACAAAAATCACAGGAATGTAAGTAAATAAATTTGGAAGCCTTTTTTTAAGGCCTCAAAGCAGTGTTCTGCAGGGGGTCAGTGGCAGAAAGCTCAAAAAACTCAGGATTTTGAGATCCAACATTCCTCTTGTTCCCTTATCCTTTAAAAAAAAAAAATCTACTTTCCTCAAGATTTCATTTTGGTTTTCATCAGTTTCTTTTAGGAGTGGTGATGTTCAGATAAATGGGATTTGGGAGAAGAATTTGGTCTTGGTGTAGGAGGATTTCATCATTTTCTTTAGGGGATTCCTTAACTTGGAAAATTGGGAGAGCAGAAAAATTGAGATTTTTTTTTTTTTTTTTTCCATCTGCACATACTTGGGAATGTTTTGGAGCTGGTTGTATTTAAATCTTAACAAATTACTAATGTAATCATTCATTAATAATATTTAAATCTTAACAAATTACTAATGGAACAATTCATTAACAGCAAAACAGAACATTGACGAGAGATTTTTCTAGAAACAACTGCACTAAACTAAGCATGATCCAAACAAGGATTTCCAATTTTTTATTTTTTTTTTTAAAAGAATCAATCCATTTATTCCAGGTACAAATGGGCCTTTGTACCAGAGGTGGACACAGAATCTTCTCCTGTCACCTCTCACCTGGTGGAAAATCACCAGGAATGCCAACCACACATCGTGAGGATCATGGATCTGCTCAAGATGAAATATGGGGTAAAGAAAAAAAAAAATCCATTTATTTACTTTTCCAAACATAAGATTTTAAGTTATTCAAAGGAATTTTAGATATTCCCTATGAGGAAAAGGAAAAAGCTGCCCAGAGCAGCTGGCCAAGGCCAGGTTGGACATTGGGGCTTGGAGCAGCCTGGGACACTGGAAGAGCTCATGGATGAGCTGGATGAATTTTAAGGTCCTTTCCAACCTTTTCCTTTTCTATTTTTTCTATTAAAAAAAAAGAATATTTCTATTATATCTAATATTTCTTTTTTTTTAAAATAAGGGTTGAGATTAAATGTGTGAGACTGTGAAACTATTATATAAATAAAAATCAAGAAACATCTAAATCCAAACAAAAAAATACAAACTGGGGGTTTTACAGTATTTTAAGTTAACAAATTTAAAATGGAGTTTTATTTTTTTTAACAAGGTTTTTTAAGGATAAACTGTTTAATTAAGCAATATTATTTAATTTTTTTTAATTTTTAATTTAATAATGAACAATTTGTGGTCTGCAATGTGGACTTCTTTATTTAATTATATAATATTACTTAAACTTATGAAGAAGGATTAGTTTTTGTTTTAAAACTTCTATTTTGCTTTACATATAGTATTATATTTTAAAACTTTAAAGTTTTCAACTATGTGATATTACACAGTATTATTTCAACTACAAACTCATAATTTTAGTTTTATTATTTAATTTTGGAAGCCTTCTCTACAACCTTAGGTCAAAAGCAATGTTCTCTTGAGAGTCAGCAGAGAAAATCTCAATTTCTCAATGAGCAGAGTTCCAATATTTACCTTTAGTAAATCCCAATTTTTTATTTTTTTTTTTTTTTTTTTTTTTTTCTTTCAGGACCCAAAACACCTCGAAGGAATTCCCAGGAATCCCAAATTCCCCTTGCTGAGCTTTCACTCCGTGTCCAGCATCACTCAGCTGATTCCTTTTTTCCAGACTCTGTGCTGGGCATTCACAGCCCATGGCAATAATTCCCAAAATTCCCAGCCCTGTGCAGCTGCTTCCATGGATTCTCCTGGCACCAACAGCATCAGGATCCTGCAGCAGCTGGAGGACAGCGTGGAATGGGATTTTCTGGAAAATCTGGAAACCTGAGCCTCACCTGAGACCACCTGGATCAACAGCAAACAGGGAAAGCTTGGCTGAAATTCCCTTTTTTTTTTTTTTTTTTTTTTTCCCCCAGATTTTCAGCTGCATATTTTGGGATTTCTCCCTGCTGTTGCAGAGTGTTCTTCAATTATTCAGGAGCTGGTGGGGGGGAAAAAAAAGGGCAGTTTGGTGGGAATTTCTCAGAATTCCTGTGTTTTATTTGTTTTCCATGAGGATTAAAGACATTTTGTAAATAAGGGAAGAATATTTTGGATTTGATGCAAGTAGCAGCTGCCCTGGGATTTCTCCAGTATTTTAAAGTGCTTTTGGACCTGTGTCCTGAAGGCAAATTGAAGGCAAATCCAATGTTGCATGTCAGTGTACAATCAGTTTGCAGTGAGTCATTTCCTGAGGTGAAAGCCCCTTAATTTGGCCCAAATTGATCAAATTCTGAACAAATCCTCCAAATTCCTCACAGATGGATTTTCTAAATCTCAGCCTTGTGCAAAGAGCTGCAGCTTTGCCCTGGCTGTAATTTCAGCTCTGTGCTAGAACAGTATTCTTCAGGCTCAGCATTTCCTAATAAATCAGAAATGTGCATAAAACACAAAGTTATGCCAGGAGCATTTTGTAATTAGCATTACTTGAGGGGGGGGGGTTGGTTTTAATTAATCGATTAAAAGATTTGAATTCATATTTTTTAAATTAAAAGCTTTCATTCTTTCAGTGACTCAGGTGGCTGCAGCTTCTGAAATGCAACTAAATGGAGATAATGCTGTAAAAATAGAAACTGCTTAACTAAAACGAAAATAAGTTTTTTTACAGAACATTTTTTTTTTGTACAAAAGAATGTATTTGGCTGTTCCTGGATGGTGAGAGAGGTAGGGGGATCGTCCCAGTGCTTTTCCTAAATTAAAAAAGACATGGGAAATGTTTGGTTGGGAGTCAGGCATTTCTTTTTCCCAAACTCCCATAACAAACGTGGGAGGCTTCTCTGCATTGGGTTTTAGGTAGAGATGGATGAGATTTTCATCTTGGATTTATAAACTAAAATAATGAAACATCCTTTACTCTCATACTGGAATACTGTACAAAAATAATACCACAATAGGCTTGTGCTAAATGTATTTAAATCCTTTTGTATTTTTACAGTGAAGGAAAGTGGTGGACTGAGGTGTAGTCATTGAGAATGGGAATTATTTCTATTCATATAATTTATTAATGGTCTCTAATGCTGTTGGAATGAGCACAAGTGAAAAGTTACCCTTTGAAAGCATTACTTGAATATTGGAGCAGGCCACTTTTTAAAATGTTAGTGTTCATTTCCTGCCTATCTTCAACAATTTTTATGGATAATCTGAATACTCAGGATGCTTTGGTATTTTTACTTTCAGTTTCCTGCTGGTTGCATTTCATACTTGGGTATTTCCCTTAAAAATGCTGAGAAAGGAGAGTAGGGTTAGATGGGATGTTGGGAAGGAATTCCTGGCTGTGAGGGTGAGGAGGGGCTGGGATGGAATTCCCAGAGCAGCTGTGGCTGCCCCTGGATCCCAAGGCCAGGTTGGACATTGGCACAGTGGGAGGTGTCCCTGCCATGGCAAGGGTGGCACTGGATGGGATTTAAGGTCCTTTCCAACCCAAACCATTCCAGGATTCCATGATTCTGTTATTCCATGATTTTATCAAATGGCTGTTAAAATCTAAGACACCTTTTTGCCCCTAAACTGCTTTCAGTGGCCTCAGGCATTTTAAGGCATAATCCTTCCACTTTAGAAGAAAAAGTTCTTTAAAATACAGTATCCAAGCAGATCTTTTATAATTTTAAATAACATGAAAAAGGAGGGAAGGGCTTTAACTAAAAGTCCTGCTTGAGTGCTGGAGGGGGACAGTTCCACAGGCCCAAAGGGGAATATTTTATTCTTTTATTCCATAATTTTATTACTTTTCCATGTGGGACTAACTGTGATGGTTTTCTCCTTATGCTCCCACTGATAAATCCACTGAGGAACCACTGAGGGCTGTTCTGCTCTAAACTGCTCTTACCAAAGCAGAACAACCTCACTGTCCATGAATCTGGAAATGTTTTTGCCTGGAACTCCAGACATTTTCTCCTTTTCCAGGAGAGGAAATGCTTTTGCTTTGCAGTGTTTTTGCTTTTCAGTCTAACCAAGCTCAGCTTTATCTTGGACACTTCAGCTCCAATACAGCAGAGCCACAGTGCACAGAGGGAGACACTGAAATATTCCAAAGGATTTCATTTTCCTGAAAGAAAAAATTAGGAGGTGCAACCAAGGGAAACTGCTGAAGAGCAGCAGGACTTGAAGTGTAGAGCATTAAGTGATGATTGTGTATCCCATACATGAATGTAATTCTTCTAATAATATTAAATGTTATTTTGCAATACCTTTTCAAATGCAGTTCTTATTTTTCAGCCTGCCTTCACTGTTCATTTACCAACTTGAATTTTTATCTGACTCTGGAAAAGCTCCCAAATTCAATCACAGAGTGATTGAGATTGGAAAAGATCTCCAAGATCATCAGGTCCCAGCTGTGCCCCATGGCCACCTTGTCACCCTGAGTGCCACCTCCAGGTGCCACCTCCAGGGATGGGCACTCCAAAGCTCCCTGGGCAGCCCCTGCCAAGGCCTGAGCTCCCTTTCCATGGGGAAATTCCTCCTAAAACTTCCTGAAATTTCTCCTGCCAGCTACACAATCCCAGGTCCATGACTGTGCAATGAGCCACATCAAGGGACCCATCCAAATTAAAAACCACTCTTAAAATATTATCCTGGATCACTTTCCCGAGCTCTTTCATTGTTCAGCTGGACAAAAATACTGCCAGAGCAGAAGCAGGAACTAAATTCCTCCCTGACCACCCTTTCCAGGAGGAAATTCCTGCTGAAAATCCCATTTCAGGGCATGAGTGCTGTGGATCCAGCAGCAGGAGTCCCTGCTGGCCCCTGCCTTGGGAGAGGCTGTGCTGCTGCTTCTCTTCCCCTCTGCTCCTCCTCCTGTATCCCTGGCTTTTACATCCCTGAAATTCCCACACTGAAATCCCTGTCCCTACTTGGGACAAGCTTTGGGAATTGTGGCTGGAACATGGAGCACGTGGAGGCAGCTGCAGGGATCATGGCTTCACCTGGATGGAGGGAGAGACTTCCCAGGAAATCAGGAGCTGCTGCTGCACATTTTCACCTATCCAAGGGAATGCCCTGGAAGTGCTGCTTTCCATCCAGAGGGAAGAAAACTCTTCTGTACCATGAGCTTTAACATCTCAAGCTGGAGGAGCGCGGTTTAAATGATGAAATGGGAAAGCTGCTGTTCACATTTCACCCTTCCCTGTATCCAGGGCTCCCCTGGAAACTTGGGATGGATGTGGATGTGCCCAACACTGAGAGCTGTGGAGCCATCCAAGGATTGCTGAGAGAAAGAGCAGGATGTGGCTGGGGAAGGGGCCATGGGGAGGTGGGCAGCAATTTCTGGGACAAAATCCTTGTTCTGCTCCTGGAGATGAGCACAAGCACAGGGATGAGCTCAGAGAGTGTCAGACAGAAATCCTGCTCTGCTCCAGGAGACAACCTTGGCTGCTGGGGTCAAAGAAGAGAATCCCAGAATCATCAAGGCTGGAAAAGACCTTTAGGCTCTGTCAAGATCCAGTTATTAAAGTTATTAAAAATGCCTCTGCCTGAATTAAGGTGCAAACAAAACCATAGGCCAATGACAGTAATATGGATTTTATTTGATAATAAATATGAGAGAGAAAATGAAGATAGAAAATAAGGTGGGGGGAGACAGAGAGTGACAGGGACAGAATAAAGAAAATATCACCACTCCACTGATCCCAGTGATGTTCTATTGATGCTCTCCAGCAGCTCCTGGGGTGATGGTCTCACAAAAGCACAGAATCCCATGGGTTCCTGTAGCTCAGGCCAGCTGGGAATCCCAGGGCTGTGTCTTGCAGCAGACTCAGGATCTGTTGCATCCTATGCACTCCTGTGGTGCAAGGCTTCAGGAATAACTCTGGGGGGAACTTTTGGGGGGTCTCTGATGGATTCTGACACCCCCTGAGGTGTCCCTCATGTGGATGTGGCCTCTGGAGTTGGGGGTTTGTGTGTTCAGTGCCTCTGAGCAGAGTTACACCCAAAACCTCCTCCCCTCCTGGTTTTGGGTGGAGGCTGTGGAAACCTGGCCACTGTGGGCTGTGGTGTCCACACCCCAAACCCGGCCAGGGAAGGATCTCTGCTGGGTTTGGCTCTTTTGTGGGTGCACTCCTCTCCCTCAGTCCTGTCTGTTTATCCCTGGGATCACTGAACAATAGCACATGCAGGGGTTTGACTTCCAAAGTCCCAGTCAGGAATCTTCAGGGAGGCTTCTGTGCTTGTAGCTTCTTTATAGAGTTATTGTTATAATGGGGAAAAACCCTTTCATAACAATGTTGAAGGCATGAATCGTTTCAATCCCTGGCAGGCTCCTCATGCTCAGCCATGACCCCAGCACCACCAGCATTAAATTGAAGTGTGAACAAAGACTCTCCAACTAATTAAAGTTAGAAAGTGGTACATTTATTAGGACGTGGGACACACCCAGGAGAAATCTCCCACAGGCATGTGCAAAATTCACAGAGCTCCTGCTCTCCATTTATTCCCCAAAATCTTACATATTCATAGAATTACCCAACACACCTACACATATGCATTACCTGACCTCACCTACCTCCACTTCGGATTAAAATGAGCTCGAAGTCCTTTCATGCTTGTGCAGTTCTTTGTTTGAAATGGGTCAGTGGGTCTTGAAATGGGTCAGTGATCTTCTAAGATGAAGTCAAGGATGTCTTCCTCACGGTCAGCTTTTCACCTTTGCTTTGTTGCCAGGCTCTCTGGTTCCTTGGCCATGGTCCAAGCTCCCTAACCAGGTTCTGACTGGTTTTGGGGCCCAGGTGCAGTGATGGTTTCTTCATCTTTACAAAGCCCCATCCTCCCACCCTGACACAACAAAGCCAAGCAAATGATGTATTGTTTTAGCTCTAGCTAGCTCCATCTGCTAATAATTAACTTTTCTACATTGCTGCTACTCTCCTTGCTAAATTCTTAATCATTATATGTATTGTTTCTATCCCCTAGCTAAACTCTTAACCCTTTAATTCTTTAAGGCCTTGGATTCACAAGTGCCACATCTACAAGTTCTTAGAATGTTTCCAGGGATGGAGATTCCACCACAACCCTGGGCATCCTGTTCCAATGTTTTACCACCCTTTGCAGGAAGAAACGTTTCCAATACCCGATCTAAACCTGCCCTGGCCCAGCCTGAGGCCGTTCCCTCTCCTCCTGTCCCTGTTCCCTGGAGCACAGCCCGACCCCCCCTCCCTGCCCCTCCTGCCAGGGACTTGTGCAGAGCCACAAGGTCCCCCCTGAGCCTCCTTTTCTCCAGCCTCAGCCCCTTGCCCAGCTCCCTCAGCCCCTCCTGGGGCTCCAGCCCCTTCCCAGCTCCCTTCCCTGCCCTGGACACCTCCAGCCCCTCCAGGGCTCTCCTGCAGGAGCCACAACTGGACACAGACCTCGAGGGTCTCTCAGTGCCAGCACAGAGGGACAATCCCTGCCCTGCTCCTGCTGGACACACAATTCCTCATCCAGCCCAGCTGCCAGTGGCCTCTTGGCCACCTGGGCACCCTCGGGCTCGTGTCCAGCCCCTGGCACCCAGCACCCCCAGGGCTTTTCCCACTGGAGCACTTTCCCACAGCGTTCCTGCTCTCCGGGCACTCAGAGTGTTCCTGTCTGGCTCCCCAGCGCGGTTCCTACTTCAGCACTTCTGCTGATTCCAAATGCCCAGGGCAGGGAA